TCTGTGCATGCACAGAAGCAAAAAGCAAGATGGTGGCACTTATGGCACTGCCTGGGGGTGTGTCAGGCTTCGATCGCTGCTGGTTCCAGCTACTCAGGCCACCAAGCCCCTACCAGTTCAGTCGAACCTGTCCAAACTGGTAGGAACCAACCACTGCTTTTCACCCTTCAAAGGTTGCCTACCTGGATTTAATTCTCCCTACCTACAATGAATGGCCAGAACTTACAGTTTTTATGTGTATAGAAGGGATATCTAAATAATTATATCTCAGCTGACATAAATGTTAGTGGCTTAGAGAAGTGCACGTTTGGTTGATGGCAAAATAAGATAATAATAAAATAAATAAAATAAAATGATCAGCCAACCAGTTAACATGAATAGAAAGTAGCAACAAAGGATAGAAAATTTGTTCCAGATTCAGGTCTGGCTTCAAAGAGAATTCATTTTCCCTCACCTAGGTTATCTTCTCACTGCCAATCATTGTTTCTCCTCGTGCATAAGGAAAAGCAATACGAACTCTAGGCGGTTGAGTAAATGAAGAAAGAAAGCTAGGCAGGCCAACACTAAATAAGTAAGTGTTGACCGAAGCATGTTCAAACCAAGGTGGTCAGATTGTGTGGTCCTGTGTTGCTAGGAGATATGGAATTTTGCTACTGAAAAACCCAAATTCCATTTACAAGGTCACATACAGATCTTTCTTTCCTTTTAACATCATTCCTATACAACCGAAAAGTCTGGCATTTGTTTGGAGTTCAGAGGCTCTCCTCTTGCTGTGACCAATTGTTTATATTGCTTGGATACAGAAATAAAATCCAATCCATTTGAACTTTAGAAAAGAGCCTTTCTGACAGCTCTTCAAGTCACTTTCATATTTGTTAGATGGATTTTCACTTGGCTTCCTACGTTTTACGGTACAGAGCTTGTTGTGGCTGTAGATCTTTGCTAAAAGAGAAATTAGTCCTTCATACTCAACAACTGGAATAGTCAATTATGATTAAGTGCTGCTTATATTTCTTTTCAATAGTTATTACTGCCCTAGTTAGAGAAGTATGGTTTAGAGCAAAGAAGTTCCATTAGAGAAAACTCAGAAAATTCATATATTTTTCTTCTATTCTTGAGGCTGGAAACACAAAAGCTGCAATATAAATCTTAAAAGTGGCTTAGCAAGATTTTTAAAACACAAACAGTTTGCCTCCAGAATACCTTGGAAAGAGAAGAAAATATTCTATTCTTGCCAGAATACCTTGGAAAGAGAAGAAAATATTCTATTCTTGCC